TTTTTTTAAAGTATTTTAAAAGAAAAGATTTTAAAATTGCCCAAAGATCTCTGGGGTGCTCATGTGACTATCTCCTATCATGGCTCTTCTATGCTCAACCCCAGTGTTTAGCTGCCTCATGGGTGACCCCTAGACTCCTAGGAATCAGCACCTCACCCCCAACCCATTCCTCTTCATGGCAGCCTTGTCACCAAACCAACCAGGGGGCCAGCCTGACCTCTTTCTCCTCCTCCTCCTCAAGGCCAACCCCACCCCTGGCTTGCCCATTCTCCCTCCTGACTCTGTCCCCTCCTCTGGGTGCAGGACTGTCCCTCTACCAGGATATCATCTCTCCAGTTCATCCAGGCTGATCCCACTGAACCCTCCTCTGGAAGCCCTCTCTGGGGGTGGAAGGTGCACCCCCAGCCCCTAGAACAAAGCCAGGCATAGAGCTAGAGCTTTATACCTACTTGTTGAATTGATGAATAAAGAAATAAGTAACCCTTCCCCCTTCCCAGGCAGAGCAACCCCTCTATGAGCCCTCCCCGGACCCTGCCTCTCCCTCTGGCCCAGCCCTGAGCCCACAGGAGTCTGTGTCTGGCTTTTTCTTCCCCAGAATGACAGTTCCTTCAGGGTTGGGTTTGTGGCCTTTCAGAGGTTCCCATTCCCTTGATGGGAAAATTCTGGAAAAGGCAATTGATCAAATTGAGAGGCAAAGTGGTGTGGGGTTTCAGGGAACTGAGGTGGACCTTTGGGGTTCACAGAGGTTAGTGAGGAAGGGGAGTAAGAAGTGTTTATGTGTGTCTTTGCCCGAATCCATGAGACTCCTAGTGTGTGTTTGAGGTCCAAGGCTGCAAATGGGGCCCCAGGCTCAAGGCCGAGGTTTCGGGTTTGCGAGTGTTTCAGATTTTAAGTCTCTCTAAAACTTTGTGCATGCTCTGCATTTGTGCATGGTGTGTTCGTGAGCCTCTCAAGGAAGTGCCTGGCCTCAGTTTTGGGGTGTCTGGGGGAGCCTGTGTTTGTATCTTGGCCCTGTGTGCATCCTCGGCTCTGGGTGTGCTGGAAGCGAAGTATTCACCAGGCTGGGTGTGTCTGCCACTGCGGGTTGGTTCCGCATCTTCCCGCGTGGCCAGAGTTTCCGAGCTTCTGAGGGTCCCAGGCTGTGTGGGTGGGTGGAGGGTG